AAAAAGGAAATGAAGGAATTAGATAAGAGAAAAAAGGCATTATATAAGGAATTTTGAATTTGACTTTTTTTTTATAGATAGACTTTACGTACAAATTTTGACTTCACTGATTTTATGAGATTTATTTTAACAAAATCAATGTTAATATGGAATAAGACAAATAAATAAAGTCTTTTTATTTTAGTAAAGATTTTACGTCTTTTTTTTAGTTGTTAGACGTTATGGGATTTTTTTTTCTTAAACTGATTTTATGTGATATAAGACAAATAAATAAAATAATTAAATAAAATTCTTGGATAGAAATAGCAATGCATTAATTACGTTGACTTTTCAATCTACTGAATTTGATAAATAGGATACTATACAAATAAATAACATGCCAAAATTTTAAAGAATAATTAATGTATTTTAATTTATTATCTAGCCATCAGTAATATCATTTAATGATGTGATCATTATCTCTTAAATGATAACTAAAATATTAATTTCAAAAAATATTTGTTTTTTATGTACACAAATAAAAATTAAAAAATACTATCGACAAATATGAATTATAATATATATCAGTAAAATCATTGCAGAAATTAATAAAATTATTTAAGAAAATAACATTTTTGATCATATTTGAATAGGAAATGTATATATGCAAACAATTAATGCATATAGTAAAAAAAAATATAAATAAATTATGCATTAAATGTCAGTTGACTTTTCTTGCTACTATTTTTTGTAAATAGTATGGCTTTTAATATAAGTATAGATATTGTCCTCAAAAAGACAGTTTTACCCTTTTAAATATAAAAATAATTTTTTTTTTTTGTCGGCCGGCCTCGAATGTCGGCCGTAACCGTGTCGGCCTTCTTTTTGCCGGTTGGCCGGCCATGCACGGCCGTTTTTCCGGTTGGCCGACCCATGCACGGCCAGTTTTGCCGGTTGGTCGCACCATGCATGGCCGGTTTTGCCGTTGGCCGCACCATGCACGGCCGGTTTTGCCGGCCGGCCGGTCAATTTTTTTTTTATTTTTTTATTTTATCAAATTTTTAGTTATATACATTATATTAAAATTTATATTTATGTTATAAATTATAATTTAATATCTCATAGTTAGAATTTAGAAATTGTTAAACTATAAATTATTACTAATTATCTTATAGAATTTTATTATTATTATGTTAGAACTCATTAATTATTATTTTATATAACATAACATAATACTAATTATCTCTAATAAAATACTATGAGTGATGCTATTAAAAATTGTAGTTCCCTTTTTTTCTTAAATCCGCTCCTTTTCAACTCGGTAATAAATTTTAAAATACAAAATAATATTGACTTAAATTTGAAATTCATAAATACCAATTTAAATAACAAATTGAACGAAAAATATCAGATTCTGTTAGAGCAATTCATTGAGACCGATTAATTCAATATGATTCCGAATTTTATGACAAGAGATTGTTTGACACTTTTGTCAGAGTTATATGATTCGTGTGAATATTATAGTAGGAAAAGCATTCTAACAAAATAGTAATAAATTCTAATTTATAATAGTAATAATCTATACCATAATAATTTCTAATTTCTTACATAGTAGTACTAAATATTATTTCATAAGACTATCAATTCTAAACTATACCATAATAGTATCCAATTTCTAACATAATAGTAATAAATTACAATTTATAACATAATCAGTTTTAATCTATAATACAATAATTAGTATAAGTTATATTATTATTAATTAGAAATTATACTTGTTTGAAAAAACTATATTAGTATAAATTATTATGTTATATATTAGAATTGATTATCTTATAAATTAGAATTTATTACTAATATATTAGAGGTTAGAAATTATTGGATCATAGATTAGAATTTATTGTCTTATAAATTAGAATTTATTGCTATTTTGTTAGAGGTTAAAAATTGTTATGGTATATTATATTTGTGATTTATGACATTCATTATGTTATTAATATATTATGATATTCAGTTGTGTTTATATTAGTATAATTAGTATAAGTTATATTAAATTAGATACTTGTTTGAAAAAAAAATTATATTAATATAAATTATTATGTTTTATATTAGAATTGATTATCTTATAAATTAAAATTTATTAATAATATGTTAGAGGTTAGAAATTATTGTATTATACATTAGAATTAATTGTCTTATGAATTAAAATTTATTGCTATTTTGTTAGAGGTTAGAAATTATTGTATTATAGATTAAAACTAATAATGTTATAAATTATAATTTATTACTATTATGTTAGAAGTTGGTTATTATTATGGTATAGTTTAGAATTGATAGTCTTATGAAATAATATTTAGTACTACTATGTTAGAAGATAAAAATTATTATGGTATAGATTATTACTATTATAAATTATAATTTATTACTATTTTGTTAGAACGCTTTTCCTACTATAATATTCAAACGAATCATATAACTCTGGGAAAAGTGTCAAACAATTTCTTGTCATAAAATTCGGTCAAAGCATACTGAATTAATCGGTCTCAATGAATTGCACTAACAAAATCCGATTTTTTCGTTCAATTTGTTATTTAAATTGGTATTTATGAATTTCAAATTTAAGTCAAAATATTATTTTGTATTTTAAAATTTATTATCGAGTTGAAAAGGAGCGGATTTAAGAATAAAAGGGAAATACAATTTTTAATAGCATCACTCATTAGTATTTTATTAGAGATAATTAGTATTATGTTATATAACATAATAATTTATGAGTTCTAACGTAATAATAATAAAATTCTATAAAATAATTAGTTATAATTTATACTTTAACAATTGCTAAATTTCTAACTATGAGATATTAAATTTTAATTTATAACATAAACCTAAATTCTAATATAATGTATATAATTAAAAATTTTGATTAAAAAAAAAAAAAAATTGGTCGGCCGGCCGGCAAAACCGGTTGTCATGGTGCGGCCAACCGGCAAAACTGGTCGTGCATGGGCCGACCAACCGGCAAAAAGAAGCCCGACACGGCTACGGTCGACATTCGAGGCCGGCTAGCCCAAACAAAAGAAAAAAATATATTTTTCGCCGGTTTGACCGGTCGGCCGCCGCTTGACCGGTCTTGTTGGAAAGTATTTTTTCCCGAAATTATTCAGAGGTGTTTTCGAAATTTTTTGAGGCTCGGTTTGGCCGGTAAATAGTTCTAAAGAGAGACATCTCCTCTTTTTTAAAAAAATAAATAAAGAGCAGTAAATATCAAAAAAGGGCGGTGTTTAATGTTTCACTAATTCATGCCTCTTAACACATTCTAACTATTAATTAGCCTAATCATTAGGTTGGGTAAGTCCATTTTTCATACTATTTGAATATAAAATTATATTTATTTTATTGAATGTCATACTTTCTTCATATTATTTTGTAAAGTATAACATCCATCTCCTAATTATAATTGTATATTTGTGAAAAAAAAGTACAACAGGTCTACTAGTTAAGTTTGTCTAACACTCCAACACAAAACTAGTTTTGTTAAATATACCAAACTTGGGTTGGTTCGATTTGAGCTCAGCTCGTTAAGGCTCAAATTCGACTCGACACATTTGATAAATGAGTCAAGTTCGAGCTCATTTAAAGCTCGTTAGTTAAGGCTCAAAAAGAGAATATTATATATTTTTCTATGATTCAATTCTTTAGAACTACAGATCAGCTCGTTAAAGACTTGAACTCGGTCCGTTATTAGTGATCAATGAATCGAACTCGAACTTAATTTTAAGCTCATTTATTTAATGAACTAAATTCAACACGGCTCATTGAGGACTCAAGCACAAATTGAACTAAACAAGCCTACACAAAAAATAATTACCGTACTTTTCAATGAATTTTGAGAAGCAAATTATAAGACATCAAATGAAGGGAAGACACACGGCCCGCCGCAGCTAAAAGAAATAGAAGCGCCGGCCTATAGTATGCCTTTTCCTCGTCTACATCAAAACAAATTTTTTATTTTCTTTATTTATTTTTTCCCTTCAACTAACCTATAAAATATGGCACAGAAACTTCTCTTGTATCTTATTTGATCTTATCAATTAAATGAAATTATAATAAAAATGTAACTGGATGACAATGAATGAATGGCAGGAAAATATGTAAATGTATATTTCACTTTAAAGGTAATGTAATATATAAAGTATATCATTTTTACCCAAACTATGGACACCCCATGAAAATTATAGCTACAATTTGAGGATTAAAACCTTAATTAGTGGATCACTGTTTATAAAGACTGGGTTAGGCCCTTAGAAGAACAAAGAGATCAACTAGTTAACTATTTATATATATACTAGTACAGTGCCCGTTGGCCCCGTGCGGTGCACGGGACTTTATTATTTCTTTCATTTTTAAAAGACAATTGTATATTCAAATTAAAGTTGTATAATAAAGGAGCGATCATGATATTATTAAATATAATGAAAATGAAATATCTATATTATTGAACACTTCTTTATATACACAATTATTAGATACAATGATAGAAAAATATATGAATATATAATGCTAAGACTCTAAATCCATAATTGAGAAGACGATCATTTGGGTTGGAACTCCTTTGACAGTCTTTATTTGCATATATAGGTTGTATGGAAACAACCAATCTAATAATACCTACAAAAATATAAGACAAATCATCATATTAAAATGCCATAATCGACTTTATTATTGGTTTTAGTAAATATATAAAATTTTAAAATAAGTAATAACTAATAAGTAAAAAAATTAGAACGTACCAAACAATATGGCTTCATCAATATTTCAACATCCATTAAATTTGTAAAGTTCCTAAAGTTGGAAAGGATACATAGTGAAATCGCCCCTCCACTTGTGAGTCATGGTTTGGTCGTTTATAATGATCCTCCAAGTGCATATCGTCGATTTGTAGATGCCAATATTGTATTCACTTAGTAGTTTTTCAATATATAAGCGCCACATTCTTTAATTTCGCCGATGAATTTTGAAATATTGATAGGTCGAATTATGTTAGTAATTCGTTCTCTCTAAGATAATATTATATTCATTAATTCAATAAACAATTAATAGATAATGTAGCATAAAACGATGAATATAAATAATAATGTAAGAACAAATTACCTCAGAATCGTGAAAGATAATATCAAGGACGTTTCTATAATTGCGCAAGTCTTCAACTTATTGGAACATTCTAATAATGCGTAGCTCGGTAATTGGCCTATAAGTTCTTTTGATATCTTTTATTTTTCCAAAAAAACCAAAGTCATTTTGAATGATGATGGAAAAGCTGATTCAAAAAATTGTTACGTGGGATGTATTATTTGTTGTCGATTTTTGTTCAATGTTGGTGATGTTTATATAATGATTATGTATGTGCCATCTACATATAAAGTCGAATTAATATATATATATATATATATATGTATTGAAAATCGATTTTTTGAATATTTAGTAATTTGATAAAGGTTACACATTAAATTGGGGTGGGTTATTTTTTTAAAATAAACAAAAAATCTGTGGCAAAAAAAA